CTGCTGTTTTTTTTTTTTCGCTCCTGCGAAAACTTAATCAGTTTGCCCACCATAAGTTATACCAAATTCTTCCTATAACATACAGTGCAACGGTTTCACAATCCATGTTTGTGTTTCCTGAATCCTTGCAACCGCCACAAGCGCATGACACTCAACTTGAAATGTTATGGATAATTTAATTTGGTGGCGAGGCTGGCGATGAGAAAACAATCCTCGGAGCGAATAGAATCGGCCAGATGTATTTTAATTAACCTTCCAAATTTTTTAACTAGTATCTATAGGGTGATTAGCAACAGATCCATTTTCCAAGAAACCAAACAAATGATGAAATCGTTATGGAACTTAACATAAGGAGAGAATGTGTTTTACAGAGGAGAAAGACTTCCTCAGGTGCAGAAATCTGTTGTCAATGTAATCTCCCTAATTTTCTGTATAGTGAATATATACTAAGCGTATACCACTGAATTGCAGATGACTGAGGAGCTATCAGGGTGTGAACTTTAAAAAAAAAACAAACAAAACTTTTTGTATGATTTAATAATATTGCAACGGCAAAATTTATCTGTTCTCTTTCTTGCCCAATCTAGCCTAATCCTTTTTATAAAAAAGATAGGGCACTCGCTGCCTGGAATAAGCACGGCTAGAGGACGGTTAGGCAAATTATAGGTCTGGAAATGCACCGCACCGACAGCTGTTGTAGTGTCTTATTTTTCTTTTTTTTTTCTTTTTTTTTTTTTCCAGATTCAAAGTACATTATTATGACAAGAACGTTAACAGCGACGGTAAGACTAAAGTTGGAGAAGGAGAAATTCTGTACATAGTCCCCAGGCACCCTGACAAAGCAGTGAAAACTACACCTTATGTGACCTGGGAAGAAGCATTACGTGACATGGATGAAGACCTGGAGGCTGGTCTTTGGGGGGCTGGTCCCGAGCTGTCATCGGAGGAAGCTAATCGCTTGACGTTCTGTTGCTGTAAATGTTGCCATCGAAATACATGTCGCAGCTTGTCTGAGGCGTTATGTGGGGTTTTCCCACAGCACTCTACCAATCATCAGTTCTTTACACCAGCAATGTTCGCCGCCTACCATAGGGAAGGATATCGAGCTAGTATGGAGGCGAAAGTAGCCGAGTTTGTGTCCAATAGGCAGCAACCATCCGCTTTAGGGACTATCTTTGTGTTAATACATATGAATAGCCTGAAAACTTATTTTGTTAAAAATAGAAACAAAAAACAAAAAAACAAACAAAAGAAAAAAACATTCCAAACTCCAGTTCGAAAAGTAAACGGTAAATTAAAAAAGCCACCTTGAATGTCCACTGCTTAATTTCCTATCCTCTCGCTTTTGTGGGATACATTGTCTGCATTCATTTGATTTTTAACTCGCTTATATTCTAGAAAGTTCACCATGCATCAGTAATGATAATAAAAAAACCTTTTCCTTACTGTTTTATTCAATTGAATTACAGGCCAGCTGGTGAATTGCTATGGTTAATTAATTTTTTAAACGTATATCATGGAGCCATAATTTGACGCGGACAGTGTTGGTGTTGTACAGCCGACTATGAATTTCAAAGAGTTTTCCCCTGACCTTACTACACATGTAAAGCAAGGGCCTGCCCCATGAGTCAGTCTGTCATTGGAGCGTTTTCTTTCATTGCCTTTCTCTCTGTCGATAAGCTCCTAAAAGAAGACACACTTTTCGTTACAGGTGATTTTGCCGGCTTTTATTTAGAAAAGTCGTATTTTTGGAATTTTCGGATGGTTCGTGACCATGAATGCATCAACACAAGGGAAAAATAACAATAAAAAGGTGTTTCGTGAGTACACAAGTTAAAAGGTGGACCCAGTAATGAGAGCTGTTTTAGAGCAAAACGAAAACGCTAGCGTACGTGAAAAATAAATTTCTTTGAATTGTTTTAGATGAAGAGGTACACTTTAGAAAATGTATTTTCGAGGTCTGGAACCGCGACAAATGGTGCCCCACCCTTCCTCCGTGCAATTTATCCCCCTGTCTTTCTTACCTGATTATAGATATGTAAAAATCAGATTTTCAGCTTGAGCCAACGATTTTAAACTGGGAGCTGGGTGGTGTTCACCTGCATGGCCACACTTATTATTCGCTGTAGATCTTTAGCAAAGGGTTGTTTTTAGCCCAAGGATCTCAACAATGACGTAAAGCTTGACGTTTATGTTCAAAAACACCACCTCACTTACCTTTGAAGACTCAGCCCAGGTATTGCTTAGGAGTAGTCATTTCAATTCGCTTATTGGTTATATTTCATGAATTAGATCTGAATTTTATAAAAAGGTGATATCTTTTGCATATCACGCCTATGTGTCGACCTCACTTTACCTGGCCCCAATGGGGCCAAGCCAATGCTTAGCTTAAACCGCCTCCCAGTTAGCTCAATTGGTAGAGCGCCGGACTGTTGTGCGGGAGGTCGTGAGTTCAAATCCGGCCGGACCAACACTCAGGGTCTTTTT